ATTAAAAATATATTGAATCACTAGGGGCTGGAAAGATGGTTCAGCAGTTATGAGCACTTGCTGCTCTTGAAGAGGACACAAGCTCAGTTTCCAGCAGCTCATAACCGCCTGTAACTTCAGGTCCAGGGGACCCAATGCCTTTCTCTGGCTTCCATGGGTACCCACATGCATGTGCACATACTCACAGACATACACACACACAAATAATAAAATAAAAGAATGTATTCAATCACCAATAATGGCCACAGAAGCAGAAAAACATACTATGCTAACAAAAATAAGTACCTACCAATTATGTTGATGATCTATGGAATAAAATCAAACCTAAATCTTTCAGGGTTTTTGTTTGTTTGTTTGTTTTTTTAATTTTAATCACAGGGTATATTTTCCAGAGAAACATAGTCTTAACTTTCACAAGACTATACCACAAAGCAACATTCAACAAATATTTGTTAATACTTTTTATGATGCACTCTCACGGGACACTAAATACATGATAGGCCAGTGAGATGGAACCTGGAAACCATGTAAAAGTCAAAGGAGAGAAATCAACTCTATAAAGTCCTCTTTCACACACATGCCGTGGAATGTGCATGCCCACATACACACACTCCATACATACACAGAGATTTTTAATTAAAAAAATATTAAAATAGTCTAAAAATTTATGAGGCAAGAGGCTAGTGAGCAAGGAAGAGCAGTAAGTGCACTGGGAGCACACAAAACAGACAGAGCATAGGAGCTGGAAGGATTAGTAGGACCGGAGTACTTTCAAAGAAGACATTCACCAGGCATGGCGGCTCATACCTAATGTCAACAGCACTTGGGAGGCTGAGGCAGGAAGGCCAGACAACCCTACAAAATAAGTTCCAGGCCAGCCAGGCTACAGAATGAGACCTTGTGCCACATAAATAGGAAATAGGAAAAAGACTAAAAACGAAAGAATGGATCGTTTCTGAAAGTTAAATAAGTCCATATCATCAAAAGAGGAAATACTGTTGGGACAACTAGTGGAGAAGACAGGGTAAGAATGCCAGAATATGGTGTGGAAAAAAGTATATCAAATGTTCAAAAAAGAGCAAATGAGAGGCCAAGGAGACAGTTCTGCAGGCAAATGACTTAAGGTGCAAGCTTGGCAACCTGAGTTTGGCAAAAGACAGATGAAGAGAACAAAATCTACAGTTCTCTCTCTTACCTCCATACATGTGTCACCACACATGTACCTGTACACACATTCATAGACATAATAATAAATAAAATTATTTTTTAAGACTAGGCATTGTGGCGCATGCCTTTAATTCCAGCACTTGGAAGGCATAGGCAGACGGATCTGTGAGTTTGAGGCCAGCCTGGTCTCAAGGCTCCAGGACAATGGGGATACAGGGAGACCCTATCTCAATAAGGTAAAAAAAATAATAATAATTTTTTGGAGGCTGGAGAGATGGCTCAGTGGTTGAGAACACTGAATGTTCTCACAGAAGACCTGGGTTCAAATCCAAGCACCCACATGGCAGCTAAGAATTGCCAATAACTCCAGTTCCAGGGGATCTGATGCCCTCTTCTGACCTCTGTGTGCACTGCATGACACTGGTGCACTTACATACAATGCAGGGAAAACACACACATAAAATCAAAATAATAAATAAAATTTTTTAAATTATTTTTTAAAAATGAACCTTGCATGCAACAGCAGCTCTGCTAGTTAATTCTAATAGTTTATAATATTGTTGTATTTTCTAAACACAACATAATGTTATTAACAAAGATAAATTAACAACTTTCTAATGTTTATACCTTTTATTAAATTTTTCTTGCCTTATGTTTTTACATTTACTTATTTATTTTGTGTGTGTGCCTCTGTGTATGACAGCATATATGCCCACATGCAGAAATCAGAGGACAACCTGTGGGAATAAGTTCTCTCCTTCCACCACGTGGCTTCCAGCAATAGAACTCAGACAGTCAGGTGTGGTAGCAAGCACCTTGATCAGACAGGCCATCTTTCAGGCCTTCTTATCCTGTTGCAATAGCTTGGAACTGTAATAAATTGACATGGTAACAGAAGCCATACAGAGCTCAGCAGAAAGTAGTCAGTATACAACCACTGAGTATGATGGTGGCTGTAGAATTTTTACATAGATAATATTTATCATCTATATAAAGTTTCTTTTCATTGCTAATTCACTGAATCTTCTCATAAATGATTGTGGAATTCTGTCAAAGATTTCTGTCTACTGAGAGAATCATATGGATTTTCTTCATTCTAATATGCAAGGTATATTGCTTTTTTATTTTATTTCATGTGTACGAGTGTATTGCCTAGATGTGTGTAAGTGCACCTGTGTCGTGCAGTGCCTGAGGAGGTCAGAAGAAGGCATCAGATCCCCTGGAACTAGCAGTACAGATGGTTGTTAACCACCATGTGGGTGCTGGGAATGGAACCCAGGTCCTCTGCAAAAACAGTCAGTGCTCTTAACAGCTGAGCCATCTCTCCAGCCCCACATTGTTTTTTTTTTTTTAAAACATAACCAATCCTGTGTTCCTGGAATAAACTTCACTGGGTCCTGATAAGTAATTTATTTTATACTTACTGGATTCTAACTGTTAGTATTTATGTAGAAATTATAACAAGGAACAAAGGGAGAAGAAGAACAGAACAGAAGGAAGAGGAGGAGGTATGAAATACATAGAGTATGAAAAAGTTGAGGGTAAGAAGCAGGGTGTGGCAGTGCACGGCTTTAATCCCAGCACTCAGGAGGCAGAGGCAGGTGGATCTCTGTGAGTTCAAGGCCAGCTTGGTCTACATAGTGAGTTCCTGGGGCTACAGGGAGACCCTGTCTCAAAAAGACCAAAAAAAAAAAAAATTAACCAAATACGATAAAGACAACAAAGAATTTTTCAGTCAGAACATTTACCCTGTAAAATTGTATTTTAAATCTAAAGAAGTATATTACCAAAAAAGTACATTACAATGGAAGGCAAATATACTTTCAAGTATTTGTCACAAATAAAGGCTGAGAAAGATGGCTGATAACTGAATAAACAAAAATAAGTTAATGAAAAGGGAAAAATCTGCTTCTGTTAATTACATACAAAAGAAAAAAAAGAATAAAGCCTATTAGTATTAAAATTTCTAACAGACACCAATCATCCAAAGATAAAGCTAGTTATTCCAAAAACTTTTATCAGTTTTTTGTTGTTGTTGTTGGTTTTTTGTTTGTTTGTTTGTTTTTTTTTTTTTTCGGTCTTTTTGAGACAGGGTCTCCCTGTAGCCCCAGCTGGCCTGGAACTCACTATGTAGACCAGGCTAGCCTTGAACTCACAAAGATCCGCCTGCCTCTGCCTCCCTAGTGCTGGGATCAAAGGTGTGCACCACCACGTTCGGCTATCGGGTTTTGTAAGGATGGTCTATTCAAATCTTCTTTGTCCAAATATTACACCAAAATCTAAATGCAGCAGAAAAGAGAGAAGAAAGAGAGCAAGCAAGGGGACATACCTCAGGGGTGGGAGACCACAGAGGGGAGAGTAGTGAGAAAGGGGAGAGGAAAGGAGAGGAAGAAGGAGGGACAGGGGCTGCACAGCTTAAGTCTGCACACCCCATGCAGTTGAACTACGAGGGAGAAAATTATGTGACTACAGGGTACTGTTGTCTTGTTTCCACTACCCTTTCCATTTCATTAAAGCCAATTTAATTACTAAAGTAATCCCTAAAATTACTTATGCTCAATTGTTTCCTAAGTTTAAGTAAATGTCACTCTCACCAATTTACAGAATTAATGTTATTAGAAGACTTCTGAGATTTTTCACTTCATGATAATCTTTCAAAAGATAATAGAATTAAAATATTTTTAAACATTTATTTTAAAAGAAACTTTACGGGCTGGAGAGAGGGCTCCGTGGTTAAGAGCACTGACTGCTCTTGCAGAGGACCCGGGTTTGATTCCCAGCACCCACATGGCAGCTCCGAACCATCCTGAACCCCAATTCGAGGGGAAACCAAAGCCTTCTTCTGACCTCCGGGGCATTGCACAACACGGGTGCATTCACATACATGCAGGCAATACACTCATACACATAAAATAAAAATAATAAAATATTTTTTAAAAAATAATAATAAATTAAATATTTTAAAAGAAACTTTAAAGTGGCCCACATAATTAATAGGATTATGTTTGTTGCACGTGGAAAAACATATTAATGAACACAGGAAACTTAAGGAAAAAAATTTTTTCAGGTCTCATACTATGAGGCAGTCAGGAATTAGCCACCCCAACAGTACATTTAATATGAACATACATTTGAACTTTCCACATAAATCTCAAACACATACACTACTTAAAAATAATATGAAGAAGCATTTCCAGGGGTGGGGAGACACAGGAGAGGGTAATGGAGAATGAACAGGACCAAAGAACATTGTATACATGTGTGAAAATGTCATAAGGAAATCCATTCTTTTGTACAATGAATATATACTAATAAAAAAATTAAATATTTGCTATAGAAGAAAAGTTTCAAGGTTAAAAGCCCACAAAGTCACTTCTGCCACAGCACAAGTGCCGACAGCAAAGTCTCTATAGCAGTGAGTCTAAGTGAGGAGGGAAGGGCATTCAAAGGGAGACCTGGGAACACCCACAGAAGAAAGTGGCCAGCAGCAGAACAAAGGCGGCATAGTCGCAAAGAAGTGCTCTGGGAAGAAGGATGCCCAGAAACAGAGAGACAAGGGCTTCCAGAAAGAGTTAGCAAAGGCAGAAGCCAAATCAAGATCAAAGAGGATGAAGATAAATCAAAACCACAGCAGAAAGTGAATAGCCATATTGAATTGGTTAAGATTACCTATTTCCATCACAACTGACAGCACTAAGGGTTTATCTTGGGAGGAGGAGGGGAGGTGGAATGGACACTTGCAACAAAACAGATTTTAGTTATCATTCTTGCTGTCTGTAGTCCAAGAGCAACAAAAGAGACGCTCAAGGCAATTTGTTTTTTACTACACTCACCAAACTGTGGAGCAGGCAAGATTCTAGCAGCTCGGATTGGACCATGTCGAACGGAGAAGAGCTCCTGGGCTTCCCCACTGATCTGCACAAGAGAAGGCAGAAAATAATTCAGTGCATTAAAATGTGGGTCACAACATTATTAGATGAAAACGTCTACATTTTATCATAATTTGCCTGAACACTCTTTAAAACCATTTTAAAATTTTAGGCTGGTCATACACATCAAATATCCCTATCTTTAATCATAAGCATTTTCAGGAAAACTAAAGGAAGAACACATAATTGGTATGAACCTAAAAGAACAGGGTCCTGGGAGTCTGTAAGTTTTATCTTATTAGCTGATGAGAAATCTGTACAGTTCCTGCAGGACTGCAGGATTAGTCTATGAGAAACCCTACATGACAGCTTTCCATGTTAGAGCAAAGCAGCTCGAAGACAATGCTGCTATATTCGAGCTCAACATACATGCTGTGGCAACTTTTACCAGTAACCATAGCCAGTTATGTTTCTAGATCTATTAGCTTTGAGTAAATCACTTAAGCCAGTATTCTTTCGCAATTGTAAAACAAGAAAAGGCTGCTAAAACAGACCTCTAGATAATTCTAATTTCAATATTCTGTAAATTTTATTTGCCAGTTATAAATAAGCAACTTTGAATGTCATCGTTTTCACTATAAGCAAATATCAAATGCTGCAGGAAAGTCCATTCATTTGGAGCAAAGTCAGATTTAGTGCTGGAATATAAAGACTACAGCATTCTGTTCATCCAAAAGGTAAAAGGGGCATGCTAATATGTATCAAGTTTAAAAACTGCTTTTCAATTGCTGATTGATGTGCTGAGCAGATTAAGATAGAATTAGTTAGGGAGAGCCTTCCAGATTATTGTACGTGGTAATATTAGTGTGGTTCTCAGTACACTATTGTAATTGCCTAGCGTTTGATGGACTATGTAATATCAGAGAAAATAGCACACATTATAAAACTATTCCTAAAGACTCAAGAACTTCTAAAAGATATAATAAAGATAAAAATTCATAGAAGAGCAGGGCATGGGTGGTGCATGTCTGTAGTCCCAGCACTCGGGAGGCAAAGGCAGGCAGATCTCTGTGAGTTCAAGGACAGCCTGGTCTACATAGTGAGTTCAGGTCAGCTGGGACTACAGGGAGACCCTGTCTCAAAAAGACAAAAAAAAAGAAATTCATAGAAGAAACATACCATTGATATTTTCAATAGGCTTGAACAAGAAGTGGTTTAAAATAACAAATATATACACATTGTGAAAGGCTGATACAACTTCCAATAGTAAACTATTCACCTGCAAGTGACTTTTACAGAAACAACTTTTCAGCTTCTCTTCCATGCAACTTTTAGAGCTGTTTTCTTTCCTGCAAATATTCACTGTGCTTGTGATAATTATTACAACTATCTGTTGGCTGCCCTGGAAAACTGCTGAGGCATGTGACAATAGCACCACCTACCAGTCCCTAACCTGGAGGCTGAGAGATGCGCAGAGCAGGCCAGGCCAGCACTTCCCTGCTCTGCAAACACCTTCCTGACCTTCATTTTCATAATGAAAGCCGTGGGCATCACAGGCTACAGCTCTCAAGTCTACATTTTATGATTATAGAACAGAGTTTAGCACTTACAGGGGGAAAAAAAGCCTTCAATGGTTATTTTATGGAGCTTTCCATCCAAAGCAATAATCATACATTTTTCTGACATCTAAAAGGACAATCCCTTTGGTTTTTAAATACATGCATGCTAAAGGGTGAAGCACTGATGTTGTCTAATTATATTACAGATGTGTTACTGACAAGTTCCAAGTCCCTATGTCTTGAAAAATGGAACATCAGAAAAACAATGAAAAGAATGTTGACTAAATCATTCATGTTTTGAAAATAAAGTATCTGCTGTGCAAGGGATAAGTCAATCTTCTGTACATGATTTCTATTCATAGGAAAATTGTTCAAAATTTTTAAAATACTGTAAACTTGAACACTGTAATTCAAAATAGTGAAAAACACTTCTCATTGTAAGATATATACCCATAACAAATTACAGCATTTAAACATGAACACTCCTGTTCTGTACTATTATTATTTCCATGTGCCAGCACTGGGAATTTAGCTTTGAGTTCTACAAAAAAAAAGAAAGAAAAACCTTCATGTTACAATTATAGCCTTAGATGGGCATGGTGGCACACACTCTTTAATCCCAGCACTGGGGAAGCAGAGGCAGGCATTGAAGCCAGCCTGCTCTACATAGTGAGTTCCAGGCCAGCTGGGACTACAGTGAGACCTTATCTCAAAAAAAAAAAAAAAAAAAAAAAAGCCTCATTCATTAAGCCTTTGTCCTCAGACACACTACATAGCTTTTCAATCTTTCTTGGTATACTCACAATATAAATTTGTTATCACAGCGTATTCTGACATAGAAAAACACTCACATATGAACACATGAAGTTTTTCAGCAAAACAGCTTTCAAAACGAACCTAAATTCCCTATTCTGGGCTTCTGAAACCCTCTTTTTTTTAAGTACAGGAACAGGTAAGAACAAAAGGTCAGGAGAGATAAAAAATGCATACTCACTTTCACTGTCCCCCTCACTGCCCAAGTGAAGGTTCTATAATGTTGAGTATAGTGCAGGAAAAGGGAGGGGAGGAAGCATCATGTCACATTTACAGATAGTTGTGAATGTATTAGACTCGTGATTACACATGAATAATGTTGATTTTGTTGATGAAACAGAAGCGTAATTTTATGGCATGTGAATCACAAATATCAACCTCCCAGGACAGAATTCTCCAAATGACATGTGAAAATTCTACATCAAAGTAACACTGGAGCAGAGAATGCCAGCAAGTACATAGACCGCCTTCCACACTGCAGACTGATGCTAGGGGATGCTTCTCAGTTGCCTCTAATACCTTTATCCAGTATGTTCACTGGTAATTTTGCTTTCAAATAACTGTCAAAACACTGTTAAAGCTGTCAAAATTACTTTCAGGTTTCTTAAAAGGAGTTCTCTGAACACGGCAAAGAATCTCAAAGATGAGGACCCTACAGATCTGAGAAGCAGGAGCTGTAAGTTCAACTTTAAAGCAACAGTAGTAAAAGCAAGAGTAGCCAAGGAGTGTGTACCAAGCAGGACTCCAGCTTCCTGGCAACTGTGCAAACGTGGGGAGAGGCACAAACGTGGAGGCCTCTCCAGAGCTCCTCCTGGTCTCTGCCTTTGTTCTTGCTGGCATTTTAATTTCTGATGACAGACTTTTGTTGTTTGGGGCATAAACCGGACGTACCAGTTTGAAGGCACAATAAGGAGAACAAAGAATGATTTGTTCACACTGTAGGAAAAAAATCTTTTCTAACCATAGAAAATAGCTTTCACATGGTGAAAATATGCAAATTACATACCAAACTGCAAAGGGGGAAGGGGAATACAAGTTTAGAACCTCACAACTGAATCTAAGGCAAAAGGAAATTACAACAGCCAAGACAATAACACACAGAAAAGCTCTGGGAGAGCCATGGGAGTGCTTTCAGAGGATTCTAAAAGCAAAGGTCATGTCACCCTCAGAACCAAGCCTGTTCTGAAATCCTGGTGTCCTACTGCCAACAACTGTGAAAACTCAATACAACGCTAGCCTAATGAACGTCTGAGGGTAAAGCACCTGCTACCAGCATAGGTGTCGAGAAGTAAGCATGGTGGTACATGCTGAGGAGGCAGAGGCAGGAGCATCGCCACAGCTTTGAGGCCAACCTGGTCTACACAGAGTTTCACACCGGTCAGGGATACAAAGTAAGACCCAAGCAAAAAAAAAGAAAGAAATTATGAAAACTCAGAGGCTTTCCACATACCTTCCCAGTCCTAATCCCAATTTCAGAGTAATCATATTTGCAATCCTAACTTCTAATACTTTATTTACATAAGGGTTTTTTTGGTTTTTTGTTTGGTTGGTTGGTTTTGTTCTTGTTTGAGACAGTGTCTCCTTGTAGCCCCAGCTGGCCTAGAACTTGCTATGTAGACCAGGCTGCCCCCCGCTTCTGGGACTGTTTCAATACTGGGAATAAGGTATGCGCCACAGTACACAACTACTTTGCATAAGTCTTAAGTACTAAACATAATATAAATGGAATCAACAGAATACACTCTTATGATTGCTTCCACATTACTATGATCATGAAATTAATTCATGTTTATGCATATGATCACAGAGATTTTCTTTATTGCTATATAGACTTCCACTGTATGAAAACACTATGATTTTTTTTAATCTAAAAATATTTTGTTAGCATTGCTTTCTTTAAGAAGTAACATGATTACATTTAAAGACTGTATAAGCTGGAGAATTTGGAGAGGGAGTGAATGACAAATTCACTATGATTTTATCTACTCTACCACTGACAGGCTTCTGGAGTTTCTAGCTTTGAGTTGTAACATACTAAGAAAGAAGCAGGGCATAGTGGGACACATCAATAACCCCAGCAATCAGAGGCTGCAGGAGGAGAATTATAATTTCAGGGCCAGCCCTGGGCTGCAGAACAAAATCTCATCTCAAAAACAAAACAAAACCAAAAAAGCCAAAGATGAAACTGGACCTGGTAACCAGACTTGTAATCCCAGCTACTCAAGGCTAAGGCTCAGAACCCATGTTTCTTGATAACAAGTTCAATTCCTGCCTGCAGGTCTACAGAATCAGTTCAAGACCATCCTAGGCAACTTAGGTGAGCCTCTGTTTCAAAACAAACAAACAAACAAACAAATGTTTAAGTATAAACAGTGCTAAGGATATAGCTCAGTGATAGAATGAATGCTTACCTAACATATATGAAGATTTAAACAGATTCAGAATTTAGTGTCAAAAAAAAAAAAAAAAAAAAAAAAAAAGCAAAGAAAACCTGGAGAATTTGTAAAAGACTCTGAAATGAGAAAATTACTTATCTAGAGGACCCCATGGGCTAACTCTGCCTTCATCAGGATCTGCATTCTTTTCTTTGAGCTATTTTACAATACATTAAGGTACAGAAAACTGATAGTAATAAAACGATTTCTTCTGAGGGCCTACAAATTGAACCCAGGGC